AGAATGCCAAAGGCTTCCCAGCTTCTCCCTTCCTTGTTGCCAAAGATCAACATATTTGCCTTTTGTGTTTTAAGGCTTTATAATAGCTTGTAGTATTCTTATAAGCAACAATTATAGCTAGCATTCATCACTGAGAATATATGATGTGTCAGACCCTTTCATATACACTCTCATTAAATTCGTACAGCAATCCTGCATGGAAAGTATTATTGCTATTTTATTTTTACTGATGTGAAAATGGAAGCTTAAAGGAATTATTTGATCAATGTCAGAAAGCTGGTCAAATCTAAGACATTCAGCTTTGAAAAGCAACACCACCACCACCCCAAATAACAGATAAGGGGAATTAGCATGTGGTTAAGAACCTTCACAAAGTTCTTACAGTTGAGCTCCCTGGTATCTAGAATCTCCTACTTCCTTCCAACTTGGAGCATATGTGATTCTATCAGAAGAAAGAGGAGAAGTAGAAGGGTGGGTAGAGAGAATCCAAGAAGATAAAAGCAAATGAGAAAACACATACAAGGCACCAAAGGGATGAATTTAAGAAGGGGGAAGAGGGGGGAAGAGCAGCAGGAAAATGCTGCTGTCTTATTTCTATCTCATTGTCCAGAAGGGAAGACATGATGATGCCTCACCTAGGATGGCTGTAAATGCATACAAGTGAATATAAAGGCAGACACATCTGATCAACACAGCAAATAAATAGCCAACGACTCATAATGCCAACTGATGACTTTCAAGCAATTTTGAAAGGTAAGTGAGGAAAAACACACCTCAAAGAACCACGAAGGAATGGGAAAGGGGGTTTTAGAGATTATTCAGAATGGGGTGCCTGGGGATGCCCCCTGAGCATTCTCAGGACAAGTCAGACCTAGGGCACTTCAGGGTTGGTTAATGAGAACAGACAGGTGAGCCTTCAAGGCTACTTCCAGGAGACAACAGCACAGAAGCCTTTGAAATCACTGGTGTGTAAAACCCTGGCTGCTGGAGCAATGGAACAAGCCAAGTGTGCGACTCTCAGACTTGCATCTTCACTGTGCGCTTGGGCAGCTGTGGCTCAGAGCTGCGTAAGCAGCTACTCTGTGGAATATCCGGCCTCAACCCTTCTCACCCATCACAGAGCCGCTCCTCCTCTGAGGGTCAGCTCAGGAGTCCTTTCCCTCTCAGCTCGGTCCCAACACTGCTCTTCGGGGCTTACTTCTGTCTACTCTATGATTATTAATTGTGTACCAGTCTGAGCTCCTTGAGCAAAGGGATTGTACCCTGCAATTTTACACGGTTTCTATTAATGACATTACAAGTGCCTTGGGAACACTTTCCAGCTTGAAGTCACTGCACAGCTCCTGCTTATAAGTGCGTGCCACCCTAAGTACTGAGAAGCCTGGGACTCCTTCCTTTCCAAGGCCTCTCAAAGTTCTCTCTTTTGATTTGACCAACAAAATGAGACCCAAAGCATGGGGGCATGGAACAGACTGACATGCCTTGATGTGGGGTTGTGGGGTGGAAAAAAGATAAACCAAAGAACTTATATACTTATATGCATAGCCCATGGGCACTGGCAATAGGGTGATGAAGACCTGGGGGTGGGTGGGTAGGGTCTTGGAAGAGGAGGTTAAAGGGGGGGGGGATGGGAGACATCTGTAATACTATCAACAATATATACATATATATGTATATTTTTAAAAAGTTATCTCTTCTCTTCTGTGTGGTATGTGAGAACATGGCCCCTTCCCAAGTTCTAACTCCCCTTCCTGTCCTGTGGGAATATAATGAAGGCCATCTCTAAGTACATGTGGGACCTTGGGAGCCTGGCCAGCTCCTTGGTCAAGGAATGGCCAAAAAGGAACTGTTCTTGAGCCCGAATTGTAAACAGCTTGCGTTTTGATCTCACACAGCTTGCGCATAGGCACATCCACCCTGCATACATGATTTATCCCCAGGTTTGCTTGTTTTCTGTACTCTATATAACCCTGTACTGGAAAGCCTGCATTATAGAGACTTCACCTGTAGGCCACTCCAAGTATGCCAATAAGTCCTAATTAGCTCATGTCTTTTGTAGCCAATCCTCCAGGTTATTTCTTTGGAATTGGCAAGCAATACACGGAGGCCTTCTTGAACCTCAGCTCTTTGCATAACATTCTCTATCCCCACTGATCCTGCCCTAGTTTATTTCATCATCATCTCTTTTTAGGAAAAGATGAATAATCTTCAAACATCTCCACCACCTTCAATGCATGATTTGTCTCCACTTCAAAGGGACAGGATTGTTTTCGAATTGGAGAAGTGGTAACTCCTTAGGTTTGCTCCCAGGGGTGAAGACCTAGGACTCCAACTCCTTCCACAGCTATGCTTCATATTCTTTAACTAGAGGCCTGGTGCACAAAAATTCATGCACTAAGGGCGGGTCCCTCAGCCTGGTCTGTGCCCTCTTGCAGTCCGGGACCCCTCAGGGGATGTCTGACTGATGGCTTAGGCCTGCTCTCTGGGGGATTGGGCCTAAGCCCTTAGCCAGGTGAAGACCTAGGACTCCAACTCCTTCCACAGCTATGCTTCATATTCTTTAACTAGAGGCCTGGTGCACAAAAATTCATGCACTAAGGGCGGGTCCCTCAGCCTGGTCTGTGCCCTCTTGCAGTCCGGGACCCCTCAGGGGATGTCTGACTGATGGCTTAGGCCCGCTCTCTGGGGGATTGGGCCTAAGCCGTTAGCCAGACATCTTTAGCACTGCTGTGGTGGTGGGAGAGGCTCCCACCACCACTGCTGTGCTGGCCAGCCATGAGCCAGTTTCTGAGTGGTTCTCCCACTGTGGAAGAACAACGACCACCAGGGGGCAGCTCCTGCATTGTGCATCTTCCCCCTGGTGGTCACTGCGTGTCATAGCAACTGGTCATCCCAGTCATTCTGCCATTAGGGTCAATTTGCATATTCCCCTTTTATTATATAGGATTATTTTACAAACCATGAGAAATATATTCCCAAAGCAGTCCTCAAGGCAATATTTGTTGATCCTTTGTTGGCCTGTTGATCTACTCTTCCTAAGTGAACCAAGCCAGAAGAGTGCACAGGCCCTTACATTTGACCCAGGTAGGAATACAGATCACTGAGCAGCCTCAACGTTTAAAAACCAAGGTTTTCAAAACAGAACTTACCAAATCATGACACGGCCACTGTATACCTGTATCATACCTCCACCCTTCAAAGCTCTTCTGCAGCATGGATCTTAAGAATCACAGAAGATACATACAATCATCCCACTTTGTAAATATACACCAGTTGCTCAGAGCACAATGGTGTCTTGTGGAGGGTCTCACAGCTGGTTAGTGGCTGAGCTCAGAATAAAACCTTTAGTTCCTCAGTCTTGGTAAGGCACACATGTAAGAGAGCTTTTTACTACATTACTCTAGGTGCTCACCGATTTTAAACTTTTAAGTCATCACATATCTATATATTTTCCACCTCTGTCTATAGGCAGAATGCATTAGAGAGATTTATTAGACAAGCAATCTCGAAAAGATGACTGTTTTCAGAAGCTACTGCTCCCCAGTCCTCCTTAGGTAGAAAACCTTAATTTGTCTTTCCAAATTAACTCCACCACAGAGAATAGTTTTGTGGATGTAAAAGCAATAATAAAAGACCAAACTCAGTCAGGCTGCACACAATCCACCTCTTGTCTCCATTGTGGTAAATGACCAGCTTCCCCTACGTCCCGCAGTTACTTACATGCCTGGTGAGCTCTTATAGGGGAGCGTGTTTCTCCCCAGGCTCATTTCTCATTTAACTCTACTCATTAGAGGAAGCTGGGGCACAAGCCAGGTTAACATGTCAATAAGTCACCAAGCACAGGCAAAAATTGACAGCCAAGGAATCCCAGCTCCCAACCTTCTCCCATACAGAAACCCTCAGAAAACAGGTTCTCAGCCTCCTCTTCAGGTCACTGAAATAATAGTGGCATTTGAGTCCCGCAGAGTAATTAATTTCCTCTGTCTCCAATAGCGCCTCATATTTTTAATGAATTTTATAAGTCTCAGATCCTGCAGCCTCCCAGCTCCCTCTCCAACCCCGTTGTTCCCTAAGGTCCCATAACAAATAGCTCCCACTCATATTTGCCTTGCAAACTCACATAAACTGGAAATGATAAATACATTAGCTGGGCTTTTTAACGGACCATTGTTTAATTTTCTATGCTTGTCTGGCTGGGGAAGAGATAAATATTACCTTGTGGAGAATAAGATTTCTATTCCCTTTAAGGGGGTTGGGGGTAAAATATGGCCGGGAAGCGGCACTCTGTCCCTCCTAATAGGCAGTGCTGCTAATTAAAAGTGTTGGAAGGGACATCCATCCCCCCAGCCTGTGATTCATTCAGCATTATCCCTGGCAAACTAGGAATAGATACTGGAATGAATGCTTCTAATTTGTCAAAAGAAGAGGCGTTTTCAATTGTGTCTTCCCAGCTCCCTGGATGAAGTACATAATTCAGTGTTGCCATTATTTAAAAGTTTCGGACCTCAAAATAATAGCACCTGCTCCTTAAGCTCGTAAATCTCCCAGTCTGTTTCCCATGTCAACATTCATCTTACATATGATTTGACTTCAGTTTCCACTACGGAGGGTGGTTCCTTCTGGCAAATATATTGAAACAGGGGCATCTGAAGAAAGAATGCTAGCACAGTTGTGTTTAAAATCAAACCAATCTGAGACAGCCTAATAGGTGAGGCTCAAATCCGGGCAGGGAAACATAAGGCTCCGAATGACATTTACTATAAGTACTTAAAGAAAAGAAGAAAGAGAATCAATATTCTCTTTCTCTAGCCACAAACGTGGAGTAGGCCAGAGAAAAGCCACGGCAAGCTCCTGCTCCCAAAGGCTCCACGACCCCACCCCAGGGTGTTTTAGGGAGGAACACAAAGCACGAAATCCATCACTTGGAGAGGACCTGAGACATCAGAGAGCAAATTCCCCAGAGAGGAAGTTTCTGCTCACACCAGCAAGCCCCGCTTTACCTTTGAGTTGTGCAACAGAGCCCCTCAGTCAGGAAGAGTTGGAGTCAGCGTTCACCACCACCATGTCTTGCAGAATGCTAAAATCAAACAAAATACAGCATTAAACAAAAAGTAAGCATTCACGATGTAATAGGTTTATTTTTCTTCTCTCTCTTTCATTCAAGAAACTTTTACTTAGTTCCTACCATACACCAGTTAATGGAAATACAGAGATGGATAAAACAAAACACCACCACCACCAACAACAAAACAATCAACAAATGCAGCCTATTGTAATTCCTGGGCAAGAAGTACGGCAACATGCCTCTTAGGTAGGAGTGATCAGGATATGCGTGCGTGTGTCTATGAGTGTTTTTTTTCTGAGGGGTGTGTGTGTGTGTGTGTGTGTGTGTGTGTGTGTGTGTGTGCGTGCGCGCGCGCGCGCATGCGCGCTCACGCACTCATATACACAGAAGCAGGGGAAAATTTGGAAAGAACTTTCCCATATTTGTAATTTAAGCTCTTTCCATAAAGAAGAGGGCACCATAGAAAAGGTCAAGAGCCTGAAAAGTGATCATCCCCTTTGACCTGTAAGTCACCTTTGGGATTCCTTCCCAAGGAAGCAGCCACGATGGCAGGCCAATACTGATGCGCAGAGATGCTCATCATAATGTGACGCGTCAGAGGGAAACAATCACCAGAGGAATGATGAGGGGAACGCTGGCATGTCTTCAGAGTCATCTTATGCAAAGTAATTTAAATGTTATTCAGAATATGGGAAATATGTATAATAAAATTGTTTATAAGATTTGAGCTCATTCTTTTAAAAGTTGGTCTTAAAAATATGCCAAAATAGTGGTTATCTGTTTGGAGCATGATTGTAGGTCATTTTTCTCGTTTCTTTATGCTTTCCATATTTTCTATAAAGACCATGTCTTATTTTTCTAGACAGAAAGCAAACATACAAACAGCAGTTTCAGCCGCATCATGATCATTTCTCTCCTACTTTCCCTGAACCCCTCTATTTAATTGGGAACCCCATGGCCATCTTCCCAAGCAATAACTCCACTCTGAAGGTAACATTGCATTGAAATGATCCATTTCCATCTCTGCCTCCCTCTGGCTTTGAGCTCCACTGAGGAAGTTATCACACCTTCTTAACCCTTGGTTCTGTGAACCTATCCCAGAGATGAGCTCACAGCAGTCACTCAATCAATGTTTGCTGCATAAAAGGAGGAATGAGTGAGTGAATAAATGAATAAAAGACTTAAATGAAACTGTCATGACAAAAATTACATTAAGAAAGCTGTTCATTCAAAATAATCGGTGACAATAAAAGTTAAGTTCCATTTGGATTCACAGAAGATAGATGGCAAGCAGAGAGAAAGCAATTTTTCAGGAAAGACAGTGGAACCTAGAAAAAGCCTATGTTTTTAGAAAAAAAAAACTTAACATAATGGAATCTCACAGCCTACTGATCTTCCAATGTATTCCAAAACCAAGAATCTGTTTAAGGCAGAAATATTTATCTAGTACAATATTCCATTACAGCAACTCCGTTATTTTACATGTTTGAAGTTACATATACATAAACTAAGTGGTAGATACTTGTTATTACTTTTAATCAGCCATGGCTGGTTGAATCCCTGCTCAAAAAAAAGCTACCGGATAGATTATTGTAATGTTTTATAAAAATTCAATTTAGTTTATTCATAAAATGAGGGAAATATCACCCGGATAATTTGCTGTTATGTTCCTCTGGAGGCAGACATGATTTGAATCCTACCTCTGTCTTTTCAGATCTGGGGTAATCATGGGCAAGTTATTTCACCTCTCCAAGGCTCAGTTTTCCTATGTATAAAATGAGATAAAAATAATACCAACCTGATATGGTTATTGTACAAAACAAATAAAATCAGAGAAAGCATGACTGTGGAACCAGACTTTAAGCTTATGTCTGTTTACATCCACACCGGGAACTCTGAAACGTGCACAGGTCTTCCTTTTTGTGATGTGCCATGAGGTATGCTAAGCGCTGCACAAATGTCTCATTTCATCCTCATATTATATGTTACGAGGAAGTACTATTTTTCTACTTTATAGAATATTTTTTTCTGTGATATGAATAGTAATGTACCCAATTTCATTTCTGATTTTAGTTATTTGAGTCTCTTCTCTTTTTTCTTCAGCCAATCTAGCTAAAGGTTTGTAAATTTTGTTGGTCGTTTTGAAGAACCAACTCTTGGTTTTGTTGATTTTTCTCTGTTGTTTTTCTATTCTCTATTCTCTATTCTGTCTTCTTTTGACACTTTAAAAATAAGGCAATGGATGCCCAATTTAAAAACATTTATTGTGTCTGAGTCAAAATTCAAACCTAGAATGTCTGTCTTCAAATCCCAGTCTTATCAATAATTATGAGAAGAAGGCACTGAGTCTACAATTCTACATCCAGTCTTTGGCTCACAACAAAATTCAGCTTACAATTTTGTTATTTCACACCTACTATTATTTGATATGCTATGGCTTGAACTTATTCCCTCATAGTCACACTTAAGTAGCCTCCTATTTCTTTTCTTATTAAATATTTCAAGCATGAAGTTGAGGATAGACATAATTATAACAAAAACCTATATATCGCCAACCTTGCCTGGTCACATATGACCATCTGCTGACTTTCCCTTAAAAATTATTATGGATAAAAGCAAAATCTCCCATGCATTCTTTCCTAATTTTACAAAGACAACTCTTCTCCTAAATTTTCATGCATGCATTTGTTTCTAATACATGTTGGCATCTATAAACAATATATATCACTGTTTTGCATCCATCTCAAGCCTGCTCATTTTGTTAAATGCAGTTTTTGCCACTTTAAAGTTTTTACCACTTCGATAGATTAGCTTTACTTCTTTCATTTTAGCATTTAGATAGTATTTTATCATATGTTTATATTCTGACTTAATCATCCATATTGATGGACATTTGAGCTACAGTATTTCCAAATTGTGCTAATACAAACAATGCTGCAATGGAGATTGTTAGACTTCTTGGGCACATGTGTGTGAGATTTCTTTGTGGACTTGCTGGGTCACACCATTCTCTTCTCTAATTATTAGTAAGATTAAAGGTTATTTTAATATTTTTATTTTAGGTTTCTTCTTCTGCAATTTGCTTTTTAATATATCCATTTTTCTATTTAAGTGTTATAGGAGAGAGAGTGTACAAACTAAACAAATAAAGTAAAATACCTAGTATGTCAGATGATCATCTGTGCCATAGAAAAGCCAGAGGAAGAGACAGGGCATGAGGGGTGCTGGGGTAGGAGTTCAATTTTAAAAGTTAGTTAGGAAAGACCTTACTAGGAAGGTGACATTTAGCAAAGTCCTAAAATCTGTGTGGGCACAAACCATGGGAAGAAACAGCAAAATGGTACAATGATAGTATTTGATCAATATATGTGGTAGCACACAGGGATTTGTTATAATTATTTTCTATGCTAATTTGCTCACTTCAGATATAGCCCTTTTGTAATTATATATGTTGTGATTATTTTCCAAATCCAAAGCTTGTCTTTTCACTTTGATTATAGTGACATATACAACTCTTTAAATTTTAATGTAATCAAATAATTAGCATTTAACTTTAAAGTAACTGGGTTTGTTTTGTTTTGTTTTATTAAATCAATCCTTTCTTACCCCTAGATCATAAAACTTATTCAATAGTTACTTCTAAAGTTTTTAATGTTATGCTGTTTGCATTTAATCCACTTGGAATTGATATTCTTTATATTATGTGAGGTCAGTATCCAATAGATTTTCTGTATAGATACTGTCCTAGTACCATTTATCTTAGTTCATGATTTCTGCATTAATTTGTTATAACATACCTATCATATACAAAGTGTCCAGTCAGTATAGTCTGTCTTGGGGTTCTAAATTTTATTCCATTGGTCTAGTTTTCTGGGACAATTTATTTCCTTGAGAAAATACTCATACTACCTTAACTACTAAATTTTATCCTAAATTTTCACAGCTGCTAGGACCTATCCATCTGTCAATTCATCTGTAGATCCACCTGTTGATCAATTGATCGATGACTGATACATTTAACCATATATTGATCCATTCATCATTATTATTCATAAATATTTGTTGAGACCCTAATGTTCAAGACACAGGTTTGGTCGCTGGGATTTAATAGCAAACTAAACAGAGTCCTGTCCTCATGAAGCTTCCATTCAGGGGATGGAGACACACACAAATGAGTGATTAAATCTAGAGTATGTTAGATGGAGATAAGTAGCATGAACAAATGTGAAGTAGGAAATGAGGACCATATAAAAGTTAAGGATAGGAATTGGGACCAGGAGTTCCAACTCTGGTCCCAGCACCGTATCATCACCAACACATGAGGGCTGCCTGTGTCCCCATGAGATCTGCCACATGCAAACAGCAGCTACATGTTAGGGTTACCACATTCACATATCCCCCCAAACTCTATGGCCATTTGGAAGGGGGTTACAGATTCGGTATATATATTCTTTATATCTAGGATCAACATGTTAGGGTTTGCTAATTTGCATACATCCAATCAAAGCAAAGGTGTGAGCAGAAACTCCCTTACGGGAGTCAATCACAGGGAAGAAGTTCTTCGTATGGAGTGTGAGGACCCTGAGCTTGCACAGCTCCCACTACAGGGCCTGCTGATCCTCCCCTCTCCTAATGCTCCAGGCAGTGTCTGGCTAAGGGTTTGGAGCTTGTTCTAGCAAGAATCCTCCTGCTAGATCCAATCCACAGAGTCAGTTTAGCAGCAATCAAAGCAGTGGCAAAATCCATACCCACAAGGCAACAAGGAGGCCAGCAGAGGTGCCACCTAGATGTTTGGGTACTGTGACCTTTTACCTCTAACCCAAATGAATATGTTTGTGTGTGTGTGGTGTGTGTTAATAAGAATAAGGATTTAGGCAAGAGAGGTTAAGTACTTTTATGTTGGATACTTCTTTGCTATATTGAGTAATTTCATAATATACTAGAGGCCCAGCGTGTGATTAAAATTGTGCAAGGAGGCACCCTGCGGGCTGCCGCAGAAGTCAGGCCAGACC